ACAAATACTCATCAATAAAACATGACATAAATAATTGAAAGGCATCAATAATTGATCAAAACATAACTCCATTGCACATTCATCATAAAATAATTACATAATCTCATTTTATACAATTCAAAAGAGAATTAAATACAAAGATGAGGCCTCCATGGCCGAAATTTACATAGCATTAATACAATTAAAAAAAAAAAATGGATCCCTAGCTACATCAATGTCCATGGATGCACATTATTTATCAGCTTGTTTCCTCATTCCTGAAAAATGTTAATGATAATAGGGTGAGCTCAATAGCTCAGTAGAAAAAACCTAAAATACATTCCTAAAAATCCCGTGAGCCATAATCAAAGAAGAGGAGATCAGGAAAAAGGATCATTGGAATACCAGCCACAACATCATACATGAACTTCACAAATTCACAAAACATTTCATCACCAATCATGTAGATCAAGAGCAAATCATGCTTCACAACTCAGTACTGGATAAAATTAAACATGTTCACACCAACAAAATTTACATGTAGAGAATACATAGGAAACTCACTAAAACCAAGGAATTCGTAGTTTAGACTTCCCCTACCTCAAGATAGCAACCCAAGCTCCAAGCTCCAAACTCACATCCCACCAAAAGCTTACAATATCGGTACCAAAACGTAGCCCTTGTAATGATCTATAATTTGCTAACTCCGACTTAAACCAAATCTTTTTCTAGCATGAAGAAATTCTAGAGAGAATGAAGAGAGTAAAATAGAGAGAGAAAAAGAATAGAGAGAGAGTCTGTTTGCCGAAGGAAAAGAAAAGAATGGGTCAAAATGAAGCCATCCTTTTTGGTCTTTAGAATATTCTAGGTTGGTCCATGAGACTAAAATGACAAAGATGCCCCTTAAACTCCTTTACAACTTCAACAATGCCATAAAATATCACCCTCCATTAATACCACTAATACAACATACATACATGAAATAAAAATACACACACACACATGTGAAATGTCAACAACGCCCCTCACTTAAGATAAGAAAACCGGGAGAAGTTCCCAAGTCCGGAAATCGTCCCGACTTCTGAAAATTTTAAAAATGAAATCGTCACTTTTAATTGACTTAGAATGACAAATAAAATACACTTCTAAAACCCTCAGCTCAAAATGACCAAAACGCCCTTCGGGGCCCGCGTGGCACGCCAAACGAGGAAAGGATTAAAATAATCCAGAAAATTAATTAAATTCCAGAAAATAGAAAATAGGGAAAATCGGTAACATTACACTTATTAACTACTAAACACAAAGGTAATGAACAAATAAAAACCCATTGGTAATCTTAGTTGGAGAATTAGTTTTTGTTATAAGAACAAATGGGTTGCATTCGAACTCATTTGACAATGTGAGTTGGTTTTAATTCTTTACCAGGAAATTAACATGTAGCTAATGTACAAGTAATGTATTATTAGGACAAGGTTGATAATTATTGTATCCTAAGGCTTGTGTACGGATATCCTTGATTGAAAATAATGGATAAGAACAAAGTTTTTTTTTTTTGGATTTGTTGTTTTGATTTTAATTAACCAACGTATAGGACTTCCCAAGCATGCAGTTGAAATTTGACAAATGCCCAAACATTTTAAATTAATCAATTCAACACCGGTTCGACGAGTTCCTTGCTAATGCCAGTAATCTTGAGGACCCTGAAAATGTATCTAAATTTTCCTGAAAGTTAACTCATCTTGATTTTCTGTGTAATAGAATTGCCCTGCCAATGCCAATTTTCACCGGTTCAACGAGTACTCTTTAAGTTTTTTTCCTTCTAAAGTTTTTATTATTTTAATAATTTATGTTGTCATTGGCACTTGAGGCAGGAGCATCAAGACAATTATAGCCTTTTAAAGTAGTCAAGCCTTTAAAAAACGTGGTTGAAGATGATGCCCTTTTTTTTTCCTTTTAAAGTTTTTATTATTTTAATAATTTATGTTGGTACTTGGAAGTGATTTTATAGTTCGGCCAATGCACGAAGTGCGTGTAGCCACTCCCCAACATATATATATATATATATATATATATATATATATATATCTCACCCATACACAGATTGATTTCTGTGGTCATTGTGGCCATTGGATTTCATTTCTGAGTCTCAGCACAAAATTGGATTTCATCATGCTGGAATTTGTATTTGAAAGATTGTTACAAGTCATTACAAGTTTGTAATGAGGTATACTTATCACAAGATTATTACGTTATACATATACCTATTGGGAGGTTTAATGTTACTTGTAGCTGAGAAATGAGGCATCTTTACCTGAAACATAGATCATTATTTTGTTACAAATTTGTAATTGCTGAAAGGATGGTGTAAGATTCAACTTTTTCAGAAGTGGTTTGTTCCAGCCGTATCGATAATAATAATAATAATAATTGTGGAAACAATTTGTTTCCAGATGCAGATAAATTTGAAATTTCTTCTGGAGCTTCTTAGTAAAAATTATTTACTCCCCCTAAGAAATTATTTCTAGAGATAGGAATGAATTTTCATTTGGTGTTCAAAATTGGAATATGGAATTTAAAGATGCAACCCGAATCTGCAGAACGAGCAAGCATGGCTGCTAGAGCTGCAGCAGAACTTTCAAGACTTGGCAAGATTTCGAGGCAGTATTCCACACAAGTTAAATGTTCATGGTATAAAAGACAAAGGGACTGGAAATTATGATGCTTTAAAGTTGCCAGGTGAACATCTTGCTAACAATTCAGTGAATAACTCCTTTAATGACACAAATCCAGAGATCCACAATGAACAAATATATGGGAATGAGCATGATTACCTGGTGAGAAATTCTGAGGGGTTTTACCAGGATGGTCATGATGGTACTAGTCAATCAGCTTCTTCAATTGATGAAGACGCGCCGAATAGACTAGAAAAGGTAGGTAGACATTCTCAAAGGGGCTCATCAGAAGACGAGGCCACGAATTTGTGAATGACCTACAAGATGGCTTGAAATCTGACAACTTCAATTATTTTGGAGAAGAAACGATCACAAAACAATCCAGCAACATCTCCTCTCATTCTCATTCTAGCACTCTTGGTGATGATTATGACGTTACAAACTCTAACCACCAGAACTCGGGAAATGATGTTGTTCGCCCTTTTATGGCAGTTGATGAAGGAAACATTGCTAAAGACAGTAGAGAAACAAGGTCATATGATAATGCTGCTGTATTTTTTGATGAATCTGGATCACATGATGATGAATATAAGTTTGATACAGGGCCCAAGTATGATGAACAGGATTCCAAGTATTTCCTATCACCAGGTAGAAAATCACTTGCCCCTCTCTCACCAACTGCAGATTCTTGGAGCTTCAGAGAAGACACGAGTGGATCATTGGAGAAGTCCACTTCACATTTGCATTCTTCCAAGGAATGCCACCCTTCTCCAATTTTTTCAGAAAGCTTTACAGAATCTGCAGAGCCTTCAAAACCAAATAACTTGTCACCTGTAACTTTTGATGATTCACATAATCCGAAAGATGAGCTGGACAAGTCTAGGCGTAGTGGGACAATGGATTCTAGTATATGTCCCCGGAAACAGAATGTTCACAGCAGTAACCATGAGCCAACACAAAGAGCAAGACATGGGGTAACAGGAAGGAAATTCAAGATCTGACAGAAATCCACGGCTAGACTCCTCTTCTGATAGACTCGGATTCTCTGGAAGTAGTGCCGAAGAACAACCGAGATACAGAATTAAATGCTGACTTCCAGAGAAGGTTGAGTTCAACTGAGCTTCCCGTCAATCAGCAGTCTACCAGACTCGGAATACCCCAAGTGGAGTCGAATAATTTGGGCAGTGAATCATCTTTCCATGGTCTAGTGGACGAAGGAAACTGTGAGCAGGCCCTGCAATCTTCAAAGCTTCCATCGGTCCATGCAATTAGGGACAATGTTTGCACACCTGACGATACCTTGAAAGATGATGAATTTCTAAACCAAGCAAGTTCAGAAAGTGCATTGACAGGTGGCCTTCGAAACAAGGGCTATAGGCTTCCGCCTATTCCTAAAAGTCCGTCTGGTGATGCCTCATCTTCATCCACAAAGGTAGCCGAGGATACATCCAGCACCATTAAGCATTCCGCTGGTTCCTCCCCAATCAGGGGTTCTATTAGTTCTGGAGTGAGCAAAAAGGTTAGTAACAAAACAAGCCCAATACCCCCAATCAAACATTACAATTCAGATTCTGACGATTCCAAGGATGAATTCCTACAACAGACTCAAAGAAGTGAGGCATCAGTTAATGCTGATTCTGGTGCAGAAAGGAAACCATCCAGGAATTCCTATGGTACCGAAACCCAGCCTAGACATGCGGGTGGTTTTGAGCAGTCAAGCTCTATGAATCTACCAGCATCTAAGCAAATGCCAGAACCTAAGATCTCAATCACACGAACAAAGTTCGGAATCATCTAAAGTGGAACAACCATCCAGCGTTCCTCAAAAGACAAACATCTGATGGCATTGAATCTCCAAAGATGTCATCTTCAAGTGGGGAGACAGCAGATGAAGAGAACTCTGTCAAGAAAGCCAGTCATGTTCATCCTAAGCTTCCTGATTATGACCTAATAGCTGCCAGATTACTGTCTCTTCGATCAAACCAACAATGAACTTCGCATGACTTTATCATTGTGGTTCTAGATTTGAGTGGACAAATTTGATGGATAAAAAATTATTGTACCATAATATGCTCTTCTTATCGAGTCAAAATACAGTCCTCTTTTTACGATTGTTTGATTCATTTCGCATAATACAGGCATTTGTAATTCATAATTGTACTCGGTTTTCATCAATTCAAAAAATAAAAAATAAAATGAAATTTGTTTTGCAACTTCTTTCTGGTAGACTGAATAACAACCTGTTACCCACGGACATACATGCTAAGTTATGATGATTATGAAACTTTTCAGACTGTCGCATAGATTCAGCGACGGTAAACCTCAAATGGTTTGTCAGGTTCCTCATGATACACACGCAAAACAAATAATCTCATTAGAGGAATCCAAATGCACAGCTTTCTTATTCCAAGAAAATTGATATGTCGAAAGACCTCAATGCTGACCCAATAATAATAATGTCTCCCCAAAAATGCCTTGGCTTCCTAAACTAGAGCTACCTCACAATAATATGGGGCAAGCATTGGAAAAGCTATCTTTCTTAAGCATTTGTAGCTGTATCCAAATTCCCCATACCTCCAAGGGTATGTGGAGGGTTGTGGATACATCCTTTTGGGCTGTGGAAAAGTCCCAAGTATAAATTTTAAATCGCTTCAGGGCTACATAAAGGTTAATTGGCAAATATAAACCGTGCATCTTCCCAAAATTTGTATTAGGACTTGGTCTTGGCAGATTTCTTCCCCCTCGCGGCAAAAGATTCTGCAACTAGCAGAGGGAAGGCGATAGTTGCATCACAGTGTACCTAGTTGGAACCAGAAAAAGAAAGAAACACAATTAGAATCATGCTTCTACGTAATAACCAAAATAGTGACCAACACAACATGTCCATGCAATTATATAAAAGAAATCTATAAAGTTTACTATATAAGAAAGTTCAAGGTTGCCGGCCAAGAAAAAAGATGGGATTAAAAAAAAAATGTTATACCTTAACAGTCTTGGCAGAACCTCGGATTTTTCCCCACGATACAGCTTCATCAGGACAGGCACCAGAATCACTCCCGTCATACTCCTGAGCCGTGTTGATGAAGACACCATAATCTGCTCCATTACGCATCATATTTGCATTGCAAATGTGATGCTTGGGCAGACCCCCACCTAGAATTATCATCCCTGTCTTCCCGGGATTTGCATGGACAGCTTCACCATTCATGGCCCTAATATCTGTTCATATGACTAAGAATTGAAGATTCCTCATAAGCTATAATATGTCGCATGAAATTACAGTGAAGGGGAAAGTATTACCTTGCACTATATCAACGATCAAACCAGGGTTGCGGAAAGAATGGAAGTATAACATGTCCCCCAGTGAGCCATCTGTCAAGCCAGGACAGAAGACTGGAATATTGTTCTGCAAAGAAATGACTATTGCAACTGAGGTGTAATCAGTGTAACTCAGAAATTACACAATCAAAACTAAAAAGATTGCATCAGGTTATCAAGCCAATGTAGGCACTTATATTGAGATAACACGCCATACTTGACAGCATAAATATGTTCCTATCATCCAATGCCTTGAAGAAATGAAGACAAATGTTTACTTTTTATATGCCAAGAGCTTGGCTTATTGGATAGGTTATGCTTGCATGGCCATAAGATTCATTCTTAAATTCTGATTACCAACTGTTATGCAAGTTTCTTTTGTAATACTGTAACAAAGAGCTCAGTTAAATAATCATTTGTCACAATTTTACAGTATCCAAAAAAAATTTACAAACCAGATTTTGATCTATAATTTCCCACAAACTTGTTTCAGCACTTGGATGCACAGTACAAGGACGGGAAGGAAAAAAAAAAGGCTGGTTCTCAAAGCAACTACCCTGAGAGGTCGATATGCTACAGACACAAACACAATACAACACAGATATAGTGGCACGTTGAATCCTAAAACGGTAGGACATGGGCATGGTGTGGACATTGCTATACGGAAATATAATATATATATATATATATATATATATATATATATATCAAGTAAGACTTTTATATAGCTTTAAGCAATGTTTAATTTTATACTAAGAGTTACATAATCTAGAAGATGGAGTTATGCGAATATTGTAATGATTATTATATTATGTACTATGGCAATACTTTATAATTAAAAACATGTCTTTTTGTCCTATATCAAAAAAGTATCATTGTATGCTAGACTTATAATCATGCGCATGATGTCAATTTTACTTTTCAAAAAAATATATATATATGTTCATATTTCCAACATCACCAGGCATGGCTACCTTAGATGTGTTTGTGTTATATAAGATTTGTGTTGAGGATTGTCCCAAAAATGTCGGCCGAGTGTCAGGAGAACATCAACAAGTGTCAGAAATAGTTAAATTTGTTTACAAATTGGCTACACGTCCATAAAGAGTCGGACACATGTCAAGAAGTATATGCAAAGTGTCGGTGTCCTGCACATGAAAACGACACGAATACAGCTCCTCATATAAGTGTTTGTACTTCTTTGAAATTTCATATACAAGTGTTTGTACTTCTTAGACAATATGTATTTAGGATGTAGGAAGCAGCGCAAGTGCATGCAAAGGTACCTTTTATTTTAAGATTACTATATCATGTGGACCAATGCAAATCACCAAAAATATTAACATTACAAATGTTTAAATAAATAATAAATAATAAAAGAGAGAGAGAGAAGAAGATACAGAAGTAATATGATGAGAGTTTAAAAATCTTAAGCTTGCATCTAAAAAAATCAAGATACAATTGAATGGACACCCACCTTGTATGCCCAATAAAGGTATGAACTCTCGTTATTTATTTCTTTCCCCAATCGAGCAATTAATTTAGATGGCGTCCATAATACATTCTGTAAAACAAAAAGGAAAAGGTTAGAACTGAAGTACATTATGTTCTAGCAGAGCATTGCAGGATTAAAAAAATAACTCAACAAACTATACAAAAAAGGTGTGGTCTAGTAAAAGAGAGAGAGGGTGAGAGATTAAAAAAAAAAAAAAAAATCTAAAAGATAAAATGTTGTGTTTCCTTTTGCAGTGGGTTGAGCATTCTATAAAATATCTACCAACCAATGAGCATGATGTATAAGGTATTATTTCTCACTAGTAAGCAGATCCCAGAGAAACTTGGGTTAATAGTAATAACTCATTAGGTACCAATCACCATTCTCTTTCTTTCATTACGTGGAGGCATGATGTTCGTATCTCTAACCAACATAATGCGATAGAGTTGCATTTTATACAGATCTAAACTACACTTCCATGCTTGAAACTCCTAATAGTCAAGGCTTTCATGGATCCAGAAAATTCAAGTCTCAAGATCCAACCATAACTAAATTTGAGCAGAAAAATGCCAAAGCCACGCAACCAAGAAGCTAACAAGGTGAGAAAATGTTAAAATAAAAGTTTCCATAAAAAATAATAAATGTTTAGAAAGTTCTGAACTAGTTGTCTGTAGTATGCACGGAATCAAGGTAGAGAGGAATACCTTTACAGTCTGCTCTTCCAACATCTGGTCAAAAATTGGAATGATCCAGTCCTCAAATTTGCAATAGTTGTCATTGGGAACCAACAAGTTACCAATGCGGTTCAATCCTTTTGACCGTAAATGAGCTCCAGGCAGAGTAAAATCACCTTTATATGTGGGAGCAAGACATTTTATAAGATCTTCTTCTACACCACCAGCTGTTGTAACCACCACATCAACCTGCAGTCAGAATGCAATAATTTCAACATCTTGAGCATGGGAGTTAAAACTCAAGGCAAGAAAAATTTCCAGCTCTGAACTGCTCAAATTTCCCAATAACTTATGAGTCAAATCAAGACGACCAATACATTTGGGGAAATAGAATATGCATTCATAAAGTTAACATTTGTATTAGATAATGTCAAAATAATAAAAGGGACGCCACTGAAACTGTTCATTGAATTGATTCATAAAGATGTACAATTACATAGTATGCCAGGATAGTTCACAACTATGCAAATATTTAAGGTGGGTATCACAGAACACAGAAAATGGTTCATCAATAATGCAGAGTTAGATCCCAAAACTCAGGTATGTAACTGAATTCAACACCAAATTCTATTGTTCTTCCTTTCCGAAGGACCACAATTTGAACATAATACATGGAACTAAAACTAGTTTAAAGTTCATTTTTTTTACTACATCATGGCTTGTTCTAATTTGTTTCAGCAACTTTGCTTTATCTGCTTTAAAAATAAATAAATAAAAATGACTAAAGTTCCATGCAATTGATAGTAAAATCACGATTTCATCAGAAACATACATACCATTTGAATATATCAAAACAAAACACTATCACATCACTCACTTACCATGTGATGCTGAACAAGATAGCGAACCGTGTCTCGAACACCAGACGATATGAGATTGGAAGTAAAACCCAGAAAAACCTTGCACTTCACGGACTCTCTATATGCCGGGTCTCTCTCCTCCTCGCTACAATCTTCCGTCACACACTCATCAGCAAGGCTCCACTCTAACTTCAAAAATTAGACAAATAAATTCAGGAAAAAAAAAAAAAAAAAAAAAGAAAAGAAAAGAAAAAAAGAAACCCAATTTGGGGGATTTTCTTAGAATTGAAACTAACCATTTGATTAACGATGTCAATGGCCTCTCCGAGTTTGGAGGCTTGAAAACCAGTAGAGACCATGGACCTGAGAAGTTCAGAATAGTTCACCCCTCGGTTGAAATCATAGCCCTCGATCTTAAGACAAGAGCCTTCCAGAGTCTCTGATTCTTTGAAAACCACCGAGCGTACACTCTCTAGAAGATGTTTTTCCATTGCTTCAATTACTTCTTTAAGGGTCAGTTTGGTGCAATGGAAAAGGGAGGAAAGGGAAGGGAAGGTGATGGAGGGGGATTAAAAATTTGTGTTTGGCAAAAATTATTGGAAGGAAAGGGAAGAAGGAAAGGGAAGGGTTTGGAGGGTTAACACAAGGCCTGAACAGTGTTTTGCTTATCCTCCCAAAAATGGGAGGAAAAGGAAGGAAAGTGAAGGGGAGGGTTGATACAGGGCCGGCCCTGAGATTCCAAATATTTTGAGAGGCCCTAGGCAAACTTTCAAATGTGAGGCCCTTAAATTTCACACGCGCAAAAAAAATTATAAGAGTGCGGAATTTTCACACGATGTTTTCAAATTGTATAGCTAATTTAATTGTGTGCATGTGCATGTGCATGTGCATGTGCATTGTGCATAAGACAACTAACTAATAACTATATTCTTCATTCATTAAATCTTCATGTTCATTGACTAACTTCCTATGATCTTCATTCATTAAATCTTCATGTTTATTAAGATTTTCTTCATTTGCTTTCACATTCATATGTTCTTCATTCACCAAATCTTCAACTAAACTCTCTATTTGTGTATTGCTCCTAAAAAACTTAAGATTATCTCCTTTTTGAGATTGAATCAATTCTTCTTCTCTCTTCTGTTTTTTTTTTTTTTTTTCCTTTTTTCATGCCCAGATTCAAATTTTCTTGTAGACATAATGAAATCTAAATAAAAGGAACCATAATCAACATAAAACTAGACTTCAAAATAATAATAATAATAATTTGCTTTGTTTAAAGAAAATATATATTACCTCAATATGCAATGATTTGATTCAAGTTCAAGGCAAATAACATCACGAGATCCTAAGAAGAGTGTCCTGCTAGCATGTGAAAGAAGATCACAATTAACATAAAACGGATGGAGAATCAAACAGAAACAATAATAACTAAGCATTGCCTATCATACAATAAATATAATAAAAAAAAATCTAAAATCAAGCAGTTTGGTCAAATGATCTCCTGGCTGGAGTTTTCACTGGAATCTGGAGGAGAGTAGAGAAGACAAAAGTGGAAATGGGGAACAGAAAACTGCAGCTTCTTTTTTACATTCATTGTTTATATAGCTGCTAAAATTTGAAGACTACAGATGACAAAAATATGTGGAGATGAGGTGCCTATATATATAGGAGGCTGAACTTGTAGTGCTGAAGAAGTAGTGGGACTTTTAGGTTATATGTGGCATCCACTATCATATATAGTTTTGTCTTTCACTCTTTATATTAACTACACTTTGTGTGTGTTATTTTTGGGAGCCAATTACCCCTTTCTTGATTTCAGGATGAGGAATCAACTTTAGTAGCAGTAATTGATTGATCATTGCTACATAAGACCTGTGCAAATTAATAGAAAAAACCATTAACTTTTGTTTTGTTAAAGCCTGCTCTTGATTTCCATGTGTTTGCACATTCTGATGGCAAGTGCTTTGACAGTATTATTAACTGAAATTCTAGCTGAGCCAACTTCAATAACATCAATAATGGTGGTATGTATCTTCATGTAAAAATAAAATATTAAAAAAACCCTTAATTTGGCACTTTTAAGTATGAGCATAATTTAGAGATCGAAAAAGTTAATTATTACCTCAACGGCTCAACCCACCAGAAGGGATCCTTAATTTTCGTAGGATTGATTGTGAAAATGCAAAAACTTATGAGGAAAAGGGGTGTGATTGCTGCTGTTGTGAGATTGGAGTGAAATTAGGGAGAGGAAAAAAAAAAGTGCCTGCCATAGATTATGGACTCGATCGCCATGAAAGACACATGTAGAAAGGCACGCATTTATTAAAATACTAAGAGAACCATAATATATTCATTCAGCTTTTGATAGCCATCACACACAGTGACACACACACAAAAAAACCCTAGTTTGGAAGCTACTTTTCACTATTGGAACAAAGGTAAAGGCCCGAATCAAACGAACCAAAGTTAGAACAAATCAAATGATGAGATGAACGAAAGAAAGAAACATATATAAAAGATCGATTCATGCAAAAGGAGAGAGAAGAGAGCAAGAGGATGAACATACCTTGTCACCTGAGGCGATACGGAGGCTGCGTCCTGCGGAGTGTCGAAGCAGATTGTGTCGTCTGAAACTTGCCCTAACTTAATACTCCGTATTTTTTTTCCATCCCCTGTGGGCCTCAATTTTGAGGCCCAAGGCGAACAAGACTTGTCCTAACTACATTTTTTTTTTTTTTTTTTTTTTCCATCCTCTATGGGCCTCAAAATTTTGAGGCCCTCTAAAATTTGAGGCCCAAGGCGACCGCCTTGGTCACCTTGGGCCAGGGCCGGCCTTGGGTTGATATATTATTTGTGATGCTTAATTTTTCCTCAAGATTACATATACATACAAGTTAACAGTTGCAGAGAGAGTGAGAGACGGCGGGCCAGCAGCTGAAACTTGCGAACGGCGAACCCGAACTGGAACAGCGGCGATGGAAAGTGAAAGATATGGGTTTTGATTTTCTGAATAATTTTAAATGACATACCGATACGGGTTTTGAACTTTTGATTCTTGCAGACAGATAGATAACCTGAAATATATGGGTTTTGAACTTCACACGCTACTAATCGTTCTACTTCTATTTTTTCTTTCTCGTCATTTCTCAGCTACCAAACGGGAACTGATGCACCGTTTGATTCCCGAGAAAGTGTAAGAAAAATAGGAGAGGAATAGATAAACTAACCTGGGTTCGGAGCGCAATACCGAAATTAGGGCCTCAATCGGTGACTCAATTGAGAAACACCTTTTATTGCTTTGATGCTCTCCGCTACACTTGAACTTTTTCCTTTATAACTTTACTTTTTCAACATAAATTGACCACATAGCCTTTCTGGATCATGGTTTGTTAGTCGGTTAAACACATTTATCCGAGTAAGTATTCAGCAAATCTAGTGCACCGTGCACTAGACTAATCTCAGTTTTATGTGCACAACAAACACCAACTCATGTACATCACAGATGGTTCAAATTAACCGAAGCATGATGCTCTCAGCGCACTGAATATTTCTTCCCTCTCCACACCAAATCTATGTAAGAAGACCATGACGGCCAGCTCATGCACTACAATGGGTTTTGGTCCAATTTTTCTTGTCTGAAATATGGAAATTTCTTGATATATGTATAGACTGTAAAGATAAATAAGAGACAAACACAAAGCAATGGTTGGTCGAGCCCATCTCTCAAAAAAATATATAGTATATTGTATGCATATATTTTTTTTCCCACGTATATTGTAGGTATAATAGAGCTGATTTCACATGTATCTTCTGTACCTTAAAATGTACCGTAATATAATAGCATAATTAGTATAAAAAAAATTAAAATACATTAAATTATGAATAATGATGCCTGTTTTATATTTTGTACAACACTCTTACAGTATATTAATGATTACATTGAAAATCATAATATTTTTTATGATTACAGTATATTAATGATAATAAAAATATAATTTTTTAACTGTCATACTAGTATCCAAATCGTCGTATCAGTGCAGAAAGGGAAACGATATGTTTAGCCTAATTTGTATATAAAATTGGCAACACATTTGTTTATATTTGAAGTTTTCATCAAGTTGTCATTTGCAACCTCAAATAGAAACAAACATTTTCTTTGTCACACTCTCAATCATCATACATTTGCTCATACCAACTCTGATTTGTGTATCTTGCATTAAAGTGCAAAACTCAAAGACAATTCTCATAAATATAAAACGAGAAAAAGAAAGTGATTCTGAAATCTTACCCTCCTTGTGAAACACCCTGTACTCCATATATAAGCGATTGAGGGAGATTTCTTTTACCGCCATCCATATCAGGATATGCTCATTGCCAAAATTAATTCAGATATATGATTCACTAGAATCTTATAACAATTACCGGGGGCGGGGGTGGGAGGGGGGGGGGGGGAATTTTAAAAATATATAAATAACATGAAACACAATACTTAAACAAAAAATATAATGATGGTATAAATCAGCAATGAAAAGACGAATTTGTCAAAATTTGCTCTTAGGAGGATGATAATGTAACATAGTAAAGCTCCAATTTTGCTTGTTGCCTGCAAATTAAAGGGGTTTCAGAATTCGTGGAACTTCACGAAACCTTGTTTGCCTATTTTTGGTTTGTTGCTTGAGTGCATATTTGCACATTGCAACTTATATCATTAACTACAAGCAGTGATGTCGCAAAGACAGATCTTGATTACCAGATCTAAAAATGCACAGTCCCTAAGGAAGAACAAATTATAAAGCACACATTTAAAACAAAATATATATATATATATGTTATCTTGTCATTTCTATCTTAAAACCTGGTAGTTTCAAGCATACATACTTTACATGATAACTTAAAGCTCCGTATATATTATTTGGATGTTTACTTAAGTTGCCTAAATCTTGTGAACATTATAACCTGCGTCCTCTGACATCAAATTCTCCTTCCAGTTTTCAAATTCAGATCCACCAAACACCACTTGTTTAATTCAAACATAGCTGTTAAGTAAAAATCAAAATATGCTCAATTTATATTTGTGTTACGTTTGTATTTGTGTTGTGTTGTGTTTGTATTTGTGTTGTTTTGTGTTGTGGTGTGTTGTGTTTGTATTTGTATTTATATTTGCGTTGTGTTGTGTTTGTGTTTGTGTTTGTGTTTGTGTTGTATTTGTTTTTGTTTTTGTGTTTGTGGTTGTGTTTGATGTTGTGATTGTATTTGTGTATTTTTTTTTTTTTTTTTGTGTAGTTGGTGTTATGTTTGTATTTGTGTTGTGGTTGTATTTGTGTCAGTGTTTGTGTTATGTTGTTTTATGTTTATATTGTGTTTGTTGTATTGTATTGTGTTTTTGTTTCTATTTGTATTTTGTGTTTGTGTTATTTTGTGTTTATATTGTATTTGTTGTTTTATGTTATATTTGTGTTTTATTTGTTGTGTTGTGTTGTGTATCGTTTATGTTTTGTATTTATATTGTATTTGTTGTGTTGTGTTGTGTTTGTTTTATATTTATTGAGATGTGTCTTGTGTTTGTGTTGTATTGTATTTTGTACTGTGATATGTCGTGTTTGTGTTTGTATTTTGTTGTGATGTATTGTATTTACGTTTGTGTTTTGCTTATATTATGTTTGTATTTCTATTATTGTTTGTGATGTGCTGTTTTGTGTTTGTGTTGTGTTATTTTGTATTTATATTGTGTTTTGTTGTATTTATATTGTGTTTTGTTGTATTTGTATTTTATGTCTATATTTGTGTTTGTGTTTATTTTGTTATGTTGTGTTGTATTTGTATTTGTGTAGTGTTTGTTATGTTGTGTTATGTTGCGTTTTTGTTGTGTTGTGTTTGTGTTGTTTTGTGTTGTGATGTGTTACGTTGTGTTGTGTTGTATTTGTATTTGTATTTGTATTTGTAGTTGTAGTTGTAATTGTTTTTGTTTTTGTATTCGTGTTTGTGTTGTATTTGTACTTGTATTTGTGTTTGGTGTTGTTGTGTGGTTGTGTTGGTGTTTTGTGTGTTGTGTTTGTACTTATGTTTTGTGTTGTATTTATGTTTTGTGCATTGTGATATATTGTGTTATGATGTGTTGTGTTGTATTTGTATCTGTGTTGTGTTGTGTTTGTTTTATATTTATGTTTGTGTTGTGTTATTTTGTATTTGTGTGTTGTATTGCGTTGTGTTGTGTTTGTGTTACGTTTGCGTTTATTTTTTTGTTTGTTTTGTGTTGTGATGTGTTGTGGTTATGTTATTTTATGTTTGTGTTTGTGTTATGTTATTTTCTGTTTATATTGTGTTATGTTGTGTTTTTTTTTATTTGTATTTTGTGTTTTCGTTTGTCATACTAAAATCACAATTTCATCAGAAACATACATACCATTTAAATATATCAAAACAAAACACTATCACATCACTCACTTACCATGTGATGTTGAACAAGATAGCGAACCGTGTCTCAATCACCAGACGATATGAGATTGGAAGTAAAACCCAGAAAAACCTTGCACTTCACCGACTCTTTATATGCCGGGTCTCTCTCCTCCTCGCTACAATCTTCCGTCACATCAGCAAGTCTCCACTCTAACTTTAAAAATTAGAGAAATAAATTCAAAAAAAAAAACCCCAATTTGGGGGATTTTCTTAAAATTAAAACTAACCATTTGATTAACGATGTCAATGGCCTCTCCGAGTTTGGAAGCTTGAAAACTAGTAGAGACCATGGACCTGAGAAGTTCAGAATAGTTCACCCCTCGGGAAATCATAGCCCTCGATCTTAAGATAAGAGCATTTCAGAGTCTCTGATTCTTTGAAAACCACCGAGCGTACACTCTCTAGAAGATGTTTTTCCATTGCTTCAATTACTTCTTTAGCTGTACTGCGAATACAAAGTGATTTGGTGATGTAAAATGGTGCTTCTTTTGTTTCTTTCTTGTCATTTCCCAGCCACCAAATGGGAACTGATGTACCGTTTGATTACCGAGAAAGTGTAAGAAAAATAGGAGAGGAAGAGATAAACTAACCTGGGTTCGGAGCGCAATACCGAAATTGGGGCCTTAATCGGCGACTCAATTGAGAAACACCTTTGATGTTCTCCGCTACACTTGAACTTTTTCCTTTATAACTTTATTTTTTCTACATAAAGTGACCAAATAGCCCTTCTGGGTCATGGTTTGTTAGCCGGTTGAACACCTCTATCCAAGTAAGTATTCGATGAATCTAGTGCATCGTGCATTAGACTAATCTCAGTTGTATGTGCACAACAAATACCAACTCATGCACATCACAGATGGTTCAAATTAATCGAAGCATGATGCTCTCAGTGCACTGAATATTTCTTCCCTCTCCACACCGGATCTATATAAGAAGACCATGACGGCCAACTCATGCACTACAATCCGTTTTGGGCCAAATTTTCTTGTTTGAAATATGCAAATTTCTTGATATGTGTGTAGATTGTAAAGATAGATAAAAGAGAAACACAGAGCAGTGGTTGGTCGAGCCCAACTCCCAAAAAAATATATAGTATATTATATGTATGTTTTTTTTTTCCCAAGTATATTGTAGGTGTAACAGAGCTTATTTCACATGTATCTTTTGTACCTTAAAATGAACCGTAATATAATAACATAATTAGTATATAAAAAAAAAAATACATT